TATGTGTCATCCCATTGCCTTCTTGCCTGCATGGTTTCTGCTTAGTCTTATTGTTTCTCCTCTGTATGTGACTTCTTGTTTTTCTTGAGCTGCTCTCAGGATTCTTTGTTTGTCTTTGGTTTTAGTGAGTGTGATTATGATATGCCTTGGTGATTTTCTTTTGGGGTCTATCCTATATGGCATTTGTTGAGCTTCTTGGATGGTCAGCTTTCATCTTTCATGATATTTTGGAAGTTTTCTGTCAGCAGTTCTTCAACGATCCTCTCTGTGTTTTCTGTTTTCTCCCCATTCTGGAACTCCGATCACTTGCAAATTTTTGCTTTTGATTGTATCCCACATAATTCTAAGATTCTCCTCATTTTTCTTCATTCTTTTTTCTGATTTTTTCTCAAACAGAGTTGCATCCAAGTGTTTGTCTTCAATTTCACTGATCTTGTCTTCCACCATTTCAAACCTGCTCCTCAGCCCTTCTATGACACTGTCCATTTCTGCAATCATGTCGTTTATCTTTTGGATTTCTAATTGTTGTTTTTGTATGATTTCTAGTTGTGAATTTATTTTGGCATTTTGTTCCTGCTTTTATTTTCCTGAATTCTTCCATTTTTCGGTCTGTATTTTCCATGAATTTTTCAGGCTTTTCCATGAATTTGTCTACTTTTCCTCATTTTTGTCTGCTTTTTGCTTCAACTCTTGGATAACTTTGAATATTAGAGATTTGAATTCCATATCAGGTAATTCTAGTGCATTTTCTTCTACTGAAAAGTCATCTGGTGTTTTATTTTGGACACCTACTGGAACCATCCTGTCCTGTTTTTTTATATGTTTTGATATTGTCTGCTGTCTTTGGGGCATTTGGTAGTTATTTTCCAGGTTTATTGGTTGTAGATTTGTTTGTTTAGTCCTACTTTTTTGTTTTATTTGGTTATGTATGAGCAGGTGGGCTGTGTGTTGTCACTGGCTCATCTGTGGACATGATATTTTTCACCTCCTTCTCCAGTTGGCAGGGTCAGTCGCTCAGATATGGTACAGCAGGGTAGGTCAGCTGAAGGGGAGCTGCTGGGATGGATTGTTTGTGGCATGTACTAGGGCCAACAGGGTGGGCCAGGAATCAGTGCAGGGAAGGTTCCGGGTAGGCCGTTCCTGTGCTGCTTGGGGGTGTGATGTTCAGCACATGGTGCAGGTAGGCAGGATGGAGGGGGGAGATTGTGATGTGTGGAGCTAAGATGGGTATGGGAAAGAGAATAGAGAGGAGAGAGGAACAGGAGCCAAAAACATACAAACAAACAAAAAAGAGTGCTAAGGGAGCTTGCCGTTGGAGTGGAGAGATGAGAGACTGAGAAATGGAGGAAAAAAAAAATGGAGAACAAAAAAAAAAAGAAAGAAAAAAATGGATAAATAAAAATTAGAAAGAAAAAAGAAAAGCAAAGCCCCCAGGGATCTCACCGGTGCAGCTGTGAGGTCTGGGGAAGTTGCTCCGAGGCCGTGAAATACTAGAGAGACGAGAAACTGAGTAACGAAGAAAGACAAAAAGGGAAAAACAGAGAAAAGAAAGGAAAACAAATAAATTTAAAAAGAACAAGAAAAACAGAAGGAAAAAAAAACCCAAAAAACAAGAAGAAAAGAAATGCCCTCAGGGATCCCTCTGCGTGTCTGTGCAAACTGAGAGGGTAGGTCCCAAGCTGCACAGTACTGTCCGGCTAGAATGGGTTCCCAAATCAAGAAAAGAAAAAGAAAACAAACAACTCAAAACAAAACAAAACAAAAGCCCTGGGATCCCACCAGTGTGGTGGCACAGGCTGGGAAGCAGTTTCACATTCAAGTGGCATTTCACAGCCTTTCAGGAAGAAGCAAAGATGGTGCACAGAGCCAGGTATTTGAGAGAAAGGAGGGGGAGGTGGTGAGAGTATGGAAGAAATCAAAAGAAACAGAAAAAAAGCAACACCAGCAGCCAACAAATGGCACTCAGGGAGCCGGCCAGTGTGGGCGGGTGGAATCCAAGCAGCACTGGGGTGAAGCCGGTGCTTCCCAGCTAAGAGACCATGGCCATAGGAAGCAAAGGAGGCCGAGTGGGGGTGAAGAAGGGTGGGGGGTGGGAAAGCGTATATCGCTGGTTACCGGTTGTTCTGTCTCCTGCTGGAAACTCCGTGAAGCTGCTTTCCCATACCCCCGTTCACTGATCTCCGATAGGAGTCCAAGATGGTGGAATCATGCTGTGTTAGCTGATAAGGGACCTCTGCATGTATCTTTCCTTGCTCTCTGTTCTGTGTCAGTTTCTTGTTCCATTCGGTGCTTGGCTGAGTTCTTCATCTCTTCATTTGATGCTTAGGGTTTCAGGATTGATGTGTGACTCTGTTTGACTTAGTTTTTCAGATCTTTGCTGTGGAGGGATGGGGTGGTGCTTCTGTCTATAGCGATATGTTGCCTGGAAGTCTGGTAAAGTCTTTTGATGAGCATAAGTGTTTAATTTTTAGGAGATCCCAGTTATCTAGCTTATCTTATGGTGTTTGTGCATTGTTAGTTATTGTTTGTATCCTATTTGTGCCATATATTAGGGCCCCTAGCATTGTCCCTATTTTTTATTCCATGATCTTCATAGTATTAGGATTTATATTTAGTCCTTGATGTATTTTGAATTAGTTTTTGTGTATGGTGTGATGAATGGGTCCTGTTTCATTTTTTTAAAGATGGACATCCGATTTTGCCAGCACCATTTGTCAAAGAGACTGTCTCTTCCCCATTTAATGGACTTTGGTCCTCTGTCAAAGATCAGCTGACCGTAGGTGAAAGGATTTACGTCAGGGTTCTCGATTCTGTTTCATTGGTCTATGTGTCTGTCATTGTACCAGTACCAGGCTGTTTTGACTACTGTGGCTGTATAGTAGGTTCTGAGATCAGGTAGTGTAAGGCCTCCTACTTTGTTCTTCTTCAGTAATGTTTTACTTACCTGGGGCATCTTTTCTTTCTGTATAAAGTTAATGATTAGTTCTTCCATCTCATTAAAGAATGCTGTTGGTATTTGGATCAGGATTGCATTATATCTGTAGATTGCTTTTGGTAGAATTGACATTTTTACAATGTTGAGCCAGCTTTTATCTCAAGCACGTATCAATGTATTTTTCCAACAAAAACAGTCCTCTCTGGAATTCCACTGTGGGAATTTTTCTCTATCATATTAGATGTTCATACATTAATGTATACTGCCAGACTTTGTAAACATCTGTTTTCACTGTGAGAATCTGGCTTAATAATAGGAAATCTGGTAAACAGAGAAAAGGAAAAAAAATACAGAGAAAAATTCCACTTATACACCTAAAAAGAAAATCCAGTTCAGAAGAAGGGACTGCAGAAAACAGTTAACACAGCAAGCCAGAGGCCTGCTATTCTTGGAAAGACCTGCTTGCAAGTTTGGCCCTTGGCTGACATCTGGGAACTTAGATTTTGGGAAGGTTCTCACCATTTCCTGATAAGAATGGTTCACTGTGCTGTACTGTTTGTGCAAACAATATCGCTTATGTTGAAAACCTTTTCTTCTGGGAGTCTGGAATTTTGGTACAAGCCAGGCACAAGGCACCTATGTGACCAGCCTGAGTACTGAGTTTCTAATGAGCTTCCCTGGAAGACATTTCAAATGTATTGTTACAACTTGTTCCTGGGGTATTTAAGCATGTCCTGTGTGATTCCACTGGGAGAGGGCCCTTGGAAGCCTGTGCCTGGTTTCCTCTAGACTCTGCCCCCTGTGCCTTTCTTTTTGTTGATTTTGCTTTGTACCCTTTTGCTGAAATAAATCATAGCCATGGGTGTGACTATATGCTGAGTCCTGGGAGTCAGTCCTCCTACTGAATCATCAAACCTGGGGGTGGTCTTGGGGGCTCCCAACACAGGGATGATTCTGGGGAACAAGAGCAAATATATTCTATGAATATTATTTCCTAAAAGAAAGAAAAAAAAAAAAAAAAAAGAAAACATCTATTCAATGTTCCTAATGAGATTCAAGAAGTCACTGTATCTAAATAGCAAGAGCAGGATGTCAGGAAGAGGGAGCAATCAAAACCAGGGAAGAGTGTATGGGGATGAAACATCCTCCCACTTCTGCTTCCGGCAACACTGGGGACTGCATTGTTATGGATCCCTCTCATGCTACAAGCACACAGATATTCTAAATAAAGCACAACAGCAAAATGCTGACAACAAAAATCTCTTTAATATACAGTTAAGCTTGAAAGAAAAAAAATACCCCAACATTAGAAAGAAACAAAGAGAGAACCTAGCCGGTGTGGTTAAGTTTAGGGACTTCACCTCCGTGGGCCAGGGCCAATGAATGCACATATGTAACCACATGTGTCAAAGAGAAATGAAAAAAATGTATAAAATGAAAGATTTTTATATACTTGGAGAAAACAATAGGTGGAGAAATGGATAAAAACTTTCACATATCACTCTTAGCCTTAGAAAAAGTAAACAGAAAAAAAATTAAACAGAACAGATTCACTATAGTCTATATCCTATTGGTCAGAAAACATTATTTCAAGCATTCATTGATATTAAAAATCACTTTAGGTCATTAAAATATCTTCATAATTCACAAAGCAGGAATTTGGGGGCCATATTATCTGACCATAATATAAAAAACTCAACGTTAATAATAAAGTTTAAATAACAAAAACAAAAATCTTTGTCATTTGGAAATTAAAAAGAAAAAAGAACATACCTCTAAATAACTCTTGTGTCAAGAAGAAATAAAACTACAGTTCTAGACAACTTAGAAAATAGTAACAACTATAATTGTAGATATTTTTTATCTGTAATGTTTTATTTTCTTAAAAAATTATGTGATAAAACTAACGAAGTAATCAGACAAATGCATACATTGTCTTACATTTTTGTCAATATCAGTTAAAAAAGAAAAGTAGACATTCAGCTTAGGAAGTTAGAGAAACAAATCGTAAGAGTAAATGCAAAAGATTAGCCAAGACAAATTGGAAAAAGAACAAAAAAGGTGGTTGATCTAACAGGTATCAAGATGCATTTTAAAGCTACAGCAATTAAAATAGTATATTATTAATGTAAGGACAAACACGTCAATGAAACAGAATAGGGAGACTAGAAATAAACCCAAACAGATATGAGTATTAAGGGAAGAATAGACTCTATTATGTGAGATGATAAGAGTTGTTATCTTTGAATTGCATGGTTATAAATAACTATAATTTTATTCCTTGTTTTTTATTAATTTTCCAGTTTCCGTCACAACGATTATATGTTATTTTCATGAGAAAAATTCAACACAATGTTCTTTAAAACTGATAAATCAGCATAATTTGAACAAGGAACCACCTCCTCCATTTACTTCTAAAACAAATTTGGCTCACTGTAGTCCACTGGTGTTTTCACACCTGCTAATGAAAAATTGCTTTTATTTGGTGTAGCCATTGGAGGAAGCCCTGGTTTCAAGGGATTACAGGGCAAGTGTGAGGATGTAAGTGGAAATAAACTATTCATCTATTCATGAAAAAAAAAAATCCACTAGAATAGAAGTTCCATGAGTGCACGGGTTTATGTCTGTGTGGTTCACTGCTTAGCCCTGGTGTTTGGACAAATACCTGGCTAATGTGGGCACTCCATAAATATTTGTTATATAAATGAGTGAAGTGGCCTGGATTGACTTTTTTTTGCTTTGGCGTGTTCTTCGGTTTTAATTTTAAAGAAAATCATGTCCGTCATCCTGGCAGTGAATACTTATTGTAACCCCATACACATCTGGGGTGTGGTTTGTGGATTTGAACTTGGGGTCCACCCACCATCAACTCGTGGCCATCAGAGGCAGGCAGGCTACTTACTGAGAGGGGCAGGATTAGTGGCACTCCAGGCAGAAGGCTCTCTGGCAAAGACAGGGGGTCACTCAGAACCTTGAACTCAAAGCCAACTTTCCCAGTGTTCTTCAGTGTGATTTCACTTTCTGTAACATGGTCAAACAGCTTAAAAAGAGAAGAAGGAGGAGAGTGACTCCTCTATCCCCCACTGTTTGGGATGCTGCTACCACCCTGACAAAGGTGAATAAACAAACCTGCCTCACAGACCTGGCTTTTGTTTCTTGTGATATAGACACTGGCTGTCTCACATTTCAGTATCACGAAAAGGCGCCTATTGGGGTGGAAGGAGCATTAGACTCTGGAAGACTGGCTCTGGTCCTAGTTCTACTAATAACTAATTTATTTAGGTATGACTGTGGCTAAACATCTAACCTCTTTGAACTCCAATTTCTTCACCATGAGGAACTTATATTAGAGGATCTTAAAATAAGTTTTCTGCAGCAAGAAGCTTTGCTTTCTGGGTTCCATCTTTTAAGCAAAAGACAAGAGTCAAGTCTAGAATTCTAGAATGAATTTTTTCATTTAGTGGGAATCTATGGGGGAAATAAGCCAGATATGTTTTTTCACCTAGGATTTTGCTAACATAATTCAGTAGCAGGCTTCAGCAGGCCCAATAACCATAAACTAAGGACACTTTCAGGGTTCTCAGGTTGAGCTAGGGCAAGGACTAGCTGCTTCAAAGAATACAATCTGAGCTGGGCCAATACCAATTGCCCAGACATTCCTGGAGATAAAGAGGGAAGAGAATTCTATTTGGTCCATAAAATGGAGAATTCCTCAATAGGTGTTGGGTGAATGGGATTTTAGGTACAATCTTTAACCTATGAACACACATGGACATGAACCATTCAGTAATTATACATGTAGTAGCTGTACAGCAGGGGCCCAATCCCCATTAAAATATGATAGGAGATATGATCTCTGTCTATAAGAATATAAAATCTAATTGGAAAGAGAAGATGTTCAGACGTACAATTAACTTAATTAACTTACAATACTGCAAAGCAAACATTAGAAAAGTATACAATCTGACAGACTATACTTAAGTACTGAGGAATGTAAAGTAAGAAAAAGATAATGGTGGAATGAGGCTGAGTTAGGCCTTACAGTATGCTTAGGTTTGGGGTTAGCAGAGTGGAGAATGAGAAGGATAGCATAAAAGAAAGTGTGGAATTGTGCTGGAGGTCCTAGCCAGAGCAGTTAGGCTAGAAATAGAAATAAAGGGCATCCAAATAGGTAGGG